AATTTATTTTCTTATTGTTTAACTGAATGTTGAAGCAGGTAATAGCTTCAATAGACTTGAGTACTTTATGTGTTGCTGTAGTGTTCAGCGACGGGGTCAGTTTGGTCAGGGCTACTGATTGATAAACTATCCGGGTTGATCCTGACTATATCCTGAATAGATCATGACTATATCCCAATGAATAACTTTTGTCTTGTTATAGCTCCAGGTCCTTTGCTACCTTATCAGCCCCCCCCCCCCCCCACACACACATCCTTACACCTCTCTTTGATCTGCCTCTGGTAGTACCAACAAAATAGTCTGTGATTTCTTAAAACAAACGTATCAAGCGTTGGGGCCTTTTTGAACAGCAACTAGGATAAAGAAATATCCAGTTTCATTTTCCTTTTAATCTAATACAAAGACCTAGAATCTATGTTTTAAAAACTGAACATACTTCACTTTTTTTTTACGATGAGGAAAAAAAGTGAATAAAATTTGAAAGAAATCAACAGCCTAAGATGACTGGGTCATCCGCGTACGATAGACTGGTCATCCAATCTCTGACCCAATGTGCTCCCTAGGAAACCCGTCTAAAAATAGCAAACTCCGACGTTGAGCCAATCAGTCCTCACCTAGCCCGTAATAACACGGTTAATCTTCAACTGATTACAGAACTTAAACCCTCTTCAAGCCAGCGGCGGTTGGATGGATCACGTGGTACCCGTAGTTTGGGAGAGGAAACTTGTACTTGAGTTGTACATTATTGTGTACTCAGGATCCGTATACTAGATGAAGAAACGTGTACTTGAGTTGTACATTATTGTGTACCCAGGGTCCGTACTTTGGATGAAGAAACGTGTACTTGAGTTGTACATTATTGTGTACCCAGGGTCCGTACTTTGGATGAAGAAACTTGTACTTGAGTTGTACATTATTGTGTACTCAGGACCCGTACTTTGGATGAAGAAACTTGTACTTGAGTTGTATCCTATTGTGTACCCAGGGTCCGTACTTTGGATGAAGAAACTTGTACTTGAGTTGTACAATAATGTGTACCCAGGGTCCGTACTTTGGATGAATAAACTTGTACTTGAGTTGTACCCTATTGTGTACCTAGAGCCCATACTTTGGATGAAGAAATGTGTACTCGAGTTGTACACTATTGTGTACCCAGGGTTCGTACTTTGGATGAAGAAATGTGTACTTGAGTTGTACCCTATTGTGTACCCAGGACCCATACTTTGGATGAAGAAACGTGTACTTGAGTTGCACCCTATTGTGTACCCAGGACCCGTACTTTGGATGAAGAAATGTGTACTTGAGTTGTACCCTATTGTGTACCCAGGACCCGATGTTTTGGGAGGAAAACTGTATTAGAGCTATACTCAGGGCGACAGAGACGTTAAACTAAAGCGGCCGTGATTTGGCCGTCCACTTTGTCCGGCCAGCAAGCTGTGAAAACATGGGATGTTTAGATAACATTAGGGTCAACAGGGAGAGATTTGTCTCGTGACGTCACGTACCGGAAGTGGATATAGTGGATTACCGGGAATAAATATTTAAAAGTTGATTAATAATAAAACCCGGATTATACGCCAACATTAAGTTAATCTCTCAGTAAAATAAAACGCAAGCTGGCTGGGTTTTTATTACAGACCCATACTTAACCTTGGGTTTAATCCACTCTGTTAATGTCTAGACTGGAGCTTAACCAGCCGTATTAAGTACCCCGTACTAGTTAGCGAGATATAAAGTAGGCAGTACATAGTCCTTCTGCAACCTGTTCCAATTAATGTTCAAGGAAGCCGGCCGTTTCATACTGCATGAAGACGTCAAACATCAAACACATTAGTTAATATACGTTGTTGCTGTTTTTTTTTTTTTTTTTTTTTTTTTTTTTTTTTATACACATAAGGTCGCCAAAACATTAAACACGGTACATAATAAAAGGATTTCCGGCAGCGTTTCTTCCGGACTTTTTCCTCGGGGGGGGGGGGGGGGGGGCACTTGAAATTATTTGGGGGGGGGGAGCGGACACTGTTAAAAGTATATATTTTCTGTATAAATTCTATTTCGCTCGGGGGGGGGAGGGTACTCCGCCCCCACCCGAAGAGATGCCTAGAAGAAGAAACCCTGATTTCCGGTCATTTCCGGATCAGCATAAGGTGGCCAAAACATTAAACACATTACTTTAATAAGAGGATTTCCGAATCCCGGATCGGTTACTCAAAACCGTTCCAATAAACACTTCAAAGAGTCGTATTTGCATAAAAACTATAAATATTATTTTAACTAATCTTTCAACAAAATTTAGGAAAAAAAAATATAATTTACTATAGTTCTTAATTCTAAGTTCCACAAAAAGACAAATTATACCCGTCTCATCATTTAATGGAATTTTTTTTTTTTATCCTGCATTAAGAAACCAATAAACTATTTAATGGCATGCACAACCTGGCACGCCCCTCCCCGGGCTGTGGGGGGAGGTAACTGGTCCGACGCCGGTCTCAAAGCACGGTACGGACAAGCTAAAAATACGGTCCTTTGTAAACGGCTCGTAAATAAAGTGAGACATGACAAGTCGGGCCCACTCAATTGTTACTAATTTACGCGAAGGATCGCAATCAGCTATGATGGATTAGAAGATCGATACAAATCGATGGTATCACTCCTTTAAGATATAACGAGAAATTCAGTAGGGGAAGTTGGGTTTTTTTTTTTTCAAAGTGGGGAGCCGGTAAATCGAAGTAGCTTCTTGGTGAGCGGGAATATTTCGATGACGTGTTCAGGCTATGAGAAATGGGTTGGAGTGACACATGCCTCTTTAAACATGGACGGCGATGACGTCACGACCAACTTGAGGCCGTCTTGCACTCGGTCAAACGTGGCTTCGGGATGTTTCTTCATCGTCTGATGAGTTGAGCCGGTACTGGATCCATAATTATGTGTGACGTGGAATTCTCAACTTAAAAGGTTAATTAATATGGAATATCCTTAAACTATATATAACTTTTTTTCACTAATCTGAGAGCTTCTATTACCTCCCGAGGCAAATTGGGGCAATTATATCTATATATGCGTACATATAATATATAGAATAACTATATAGAATAACTATATATATATATATATATATATATATATATATATATATATATATATATATATATATATATATATATATATATATATATATATATAGGCTATATATGTTTAAATTGGAATAGAAAAATACAGCCGAACATTTTTTTCGTAAATTAGGTTGTTGTTTTTCAAATCTCAAAAAAAAAAAAAATAACAGTAGCGATGAAATAAGTTTGTCCCTGACACCGCCTCCAATGAACGCACTAATTAGCATAAGTTCATCAACCACGTGATGAAGAGCCCAACGTCGTCAGCTCAAGTGTGAAAGCGTTTCTTCAATGAGTCGCTTTGTTCAGTGTGTTTTCTTTACCCCGCCTGAGTCTAGCCGTTGATTGACTTCGTTTTACTCAGAAAACAGCAGGTACATTTTTTGAATGCGTGAGTCGCAGTCAGTGTTTTTAAACTCAGTCACATTTTTTAAATAAAATGTAGAGTCATGATATCTTTTAAGAGTCACATTTTTCTATTCAAGTTTGGAGTCAGGATTAAATTTCTTACAATTTAAATTGCCAGCTTGTGTGTTATAAGGAAACTTGGGATTACGTTTTCTTAATGGTTTAGTTTTAAATCTGGAATGGAACATTTTTCTCATGAATAAAGTAATGATATTTTCATTAAGTGTGATGTCTTGAGATATATATATATATATATATATATATATATATATATATATATATATATATATATATATATATGTATATATATGTATATATATGTATATATATATGTATATATATATGTATATATATGTATATATATGTATATATATGTATATATATATGTATATATATATGTATATATATATATATATATATATATATATATATATATATATATATATATATATATATATATATACATATATATATATATATATATATATATATATGCATGTATGTATGTATATACTCAGATTTATGTTTTATATTTATGCGCTTGAAGATTTATTGAATTACATTCTAGAAATTAGGTCCATAGGTATGTATCTTTGTGATACTGTTAAGTTATGATTTATTACAATTAGATCTACAATAGGATTTATTTTTTGACTAGCTATTGGTGTAAAACATGTTTCAACAAATTTTGATTTTTTCTGAATCCAATTTGAATGCGATGTTATCACATCTATAAAAGTAGAGTTCTAGCTGTAAAAATGATTGTCGTTCAAGGGTAGATAATTCTCAAACGCGAATGAAAAAGATGTCAGTTTTAAGTTGTCTGCAGACCTCTGCCATAAACCTATCGTGGACAAATCTCAGTGAAAAACGTTATCTCACACTTCAAACGTTTTTACAACAAAAAGGTTTTAGAAAACACTTTAAAATTATTATTTTTCAGACAGTCATCCGAACAAATTCCATTATTTAGGTCTGAAACTTTAAAGTCAAGCACTTAGATCTGACAAAAATTTTAAACTGAAAATTTAGGTCGAAATTATTTATTGCTTAAATAACAATCCCTTTTATTTTATTTTTTGTAGTTGACATAATAGAGTATCTTTTAAAATGTTTCAATATATGTGTACTTTCATTATTGAGAAAAAGATTTTTTATCTCAAATATATAGGCCAACACATTATTTTGTAGCCATGTTGAATAATTTCAACTCAATAGCTTTTTAGAAACTGACGCTATTTTTGAGTAAACTGAGAATGCAAAAGCTGATAAGAAAACTTTCGTGTCACAACTTGGTTTGACTAAGATATGATTTGCATTACTTCCCTTGTCTGGCATTACTTCCCTTGTCTTGCGTTACTTCCCCTTTCATTACCCCCAAGATTAAAAACCTCACATGACAAACACGTTGTTTTTGTTTTCAGATCCCCGACCGTGTCAGTCACCCAACAAACGTTGATGCTGCATCAGATAAAGATTGCTGGATGACCCACATGCCGGACGGCCCTTTGAAGTCACCACCCCACCCACCACGGCCCATACATCGACCCCCTGTTGTGTCTGAAGATTTAAACCTCACACCGTCCTGCTTAGATCCCTGGATTACCAAACTGGGAGGATTAAACGGAGGACTGTGATTATCCTGATCACATAATAGCCGTATTCTGGACGTAATTAACGAAAATAATTGTTTGCTAAAGATAGACTTTGTTTTCGGTGTTTGATTCTGATTGTTCCAAGGATTTTAATGTGAATTTCACTTGAAAGGAAAAAAAAATATGTTTTCAGATGTTGTGATAAAATAAGAAGTTTAGCTTATGAACCCGATCAACTATTGTGTCTATTTACAGAATTGTTTCCAACATTTCAACGTCTCTGTATAGCGTGCTACTGGTTGTGATAACGTTCCCAGCATCCCCTGTTATTTTTTCCCATCATCCCTTTTACATCCGGCCGAAACGGGACCTGTTGGGTAACGACAGGATAAGGACCTCACTTCACGCAAGCGGACATCTTTAACCACGTGACTGCACAGTTCACGCTTCGTTAACCTTCCCATATGGCCGACCTAGCTTTCGCCGACTGAATATGCACTTTCTCTGTCTGGGCGCCATTTGTCAAAGACACGCACTAGTCATGTATGGGAGACTAGACTATCACCCCCAAACTTGCAAGCGCTAGACTTATCTACGTGAAACCCTACCGTAATGATATGTTTACTTGGCTGAAAGTCTGGATAGTTTCATACAAGCGGACGTATGTTCGAGCCAGCTAAGGACGGGACATCAGCACTGCTTGTGAGGGACGGGCACTCCCCCCAAAGGCCCCATGCCAAACCACGCTCCTGCAAGCTCGAGCCGTAGACCTCAGAGTAATGCGGGCCTGTAATGAGAAGAGTCAGCAGAGTCTACGAGTTCAGGGCCGACGGAGTCAGCGTCACTGTCAGTTCCAGAGTCTACAGAACATTGCCTGCTACATTTTTCTTTTGACACAAGTTCTTGGTGTTGGTGAGTGGCCAGATTTTATATATATATATATATATATATATATATATATATATATATATATATATATATATATATATATATATATATATATATAAACATTTCCTTCACTATTTATTTTATTTTCTTTAAAGATAAGCTACCGTACATTAGCAGGCACATTATACAATAATCTGCTTTAGATGTTTGAAAAAAGTCAACTATCGAAACATTGCACATTCGTGGAAGGTGTAGTACCACCGTAGAGCGCGCGACAATTTGTCTAAATATCTAGTATTTGGTTCTAGAATCGAGTTAATATCTGGGTCCTCAAACCAGAAGAGATGGGGAGGGAGAATAGTTACTGGATAATCGACAGACTGTCCCTGAGTTGAACAATATGTGATGAGTTGTCCAGTTTAAAGAATTTCAGGGCAGCTGAGAATATTTCAATTTAGTTTAATATTCCGAGGTCAAAGGGTATAAATCTCAACATTGTATCATATGGTGAGGTCACAGGGTCACCAATCTAAACATCACATGCCTAGCTCCGCAGAAACTAGTTAGCCCTAATTATCAGCACGATTGACTACCAGATTAGCTTTGTTTTACCTGCAGATTGAGCTAAGTGTGTTGCAACATAATGGACTCGTTAATTTACACCTGATCACTGCAGTGAAATAACACAGCTAATGTTTTGAGTGAGTTAAAAGCTCACGTGATCTGTATAGCACTGTGTTGATTGTTTACATCAAAACAAGCCACTGTTTTCACGCTACTTGTCTCCGTGTTATTCTTGTTTCTATCCCACAATGTGATGAACCAATACAGAAACCTAAGACTTTCTCCACTTTTACATCAATGTGTTTCATTACTATTATTCTGTTTGATACGCTATTAACATTTTATACAGATCTGACAATTTTAAAATTTAGAATGAACATGTCCCCTACGTGTTGTGTTGTTGTTTTAATTGAATTCCAGAGAAATAAAATTCCAAAACGAGAAAGGTTTTTTTTTGTCAGCTCGCTGGGAATTGTCCTCATGAAATGTAAAAATAGATGACCTTGACTGTCACGTATGTTTTATCATTCTTGCGTACCCCGAGTTATCAGAAATATTCTCCTATCATATTGATGTCATCTGATTAATAACCTCTGTCAAACCATGAAAAAACTATACCAATGTATCTTAATTTAACACATTCATGTCCCAACAGCGCCACACAAGTGTCCAATTATACATACCAAATATCCACCCACCCACACAAATACCCAACCACCCACACAAATACCCAACCACCCACACACATATCCAACCCCACACAAATACCCAACCACCCACACAAATATCCACCCACCCACACAAATACCCAACCCCACACAAATACCCAACCACCCACACAAATATCCACCCACCCACACAAATACCCAACCCCACACAAATACCCAACCAGCCACAAAAATGTCCAACCACCCACACAAATATCCAACCACCCACACACATATCCAACCACCCACACAAATATCCAACCACCCACACAAATACCCACCCACCTACATGAATGTATCCACAAGTCCACGAGTCCTCAAACCACACGACTACCGTCTTTCCCCATGCAAGTCACGCACTCACACATAACCACCCACACTAATTCCGTCAGCTCACAAGAATCACTCACCCACCCCCTACCCCCCCCCCCCCCACACACACACACAACAATGTACTAAGCACTCAACCGAATAGAGCAACCTCCACGAACCGAAATGATTTGACCTGGAAAAAAAAGTCCCGATGCAGCGAAAACTGAGATGACAATGGAGGCCTCTCACGATAGCTACAGCTTGAATGATTCATTCGACAAGAAAGAAGAGTTTAATGTTGCGTTCTGTTCTGTTGGCACCATCGCCATTCAAAGACCAATCAGTGGCCGGACCCAATAAAAGACTACGGAGTTGTACAAATGGCCCATTCAGGAATTTTAACAGCCTCTTAACCATATATACATATATATATATATATATATATATATATATATATATATATATATATATATATATATATATATATATATATATATATATATATATATATATATATATATATATATATATATATACCTGCTTTAATTTAACTGATCACTTTAAAAAATAAAAATTGCCCCAATCGATGATTGCACTAATGACCTACACCCATCGATCTAAATGCACTTCTCAGCCCTTCTAGTGTCTAAGCCTCTCATTGGCACTAATTTCGGTCATTTATAGCGGCTAATTAAAATTTTTCCACTCAACACCAAATGCGGTCACAGCGATGATTGAAACTTGAATTTTCCGACCGGGCAGACCCGAGTCTTAAGATTTGAACTCCCCAAGGGGCACCACTCTAGCATCTTATCACCTTCAGTTGCCGCGCTACATTACCTAACTTGAGTTCCATTTTTTTTTCAAGTGAAACCAATCGATTTGAAACGTGTTAATTCCTTGAGCTGGTATTGATTTTAGTGGCAGGGAACTCAAGCGTGACTAAGTTGGAACGGATCTCTAGTCCCTTTCTCCCCCCTCCCCCCACCCTCGCACCTAGTGTTTAGACCTTCGTGGGCTTTTAATTAACACGACAATTAAATGGACCTGATAAAGAGTTTGTATTGTGCTCGTATAGTACACCAAGTTGTCTTTTAAACTGTTGAAAAAATTACCTGAATTAATACACTGCTGTCTTGTATTGATTGTGTAAGTATAAAAATATAAAAAATCAATAATAATTTTAAATAACTGATCTCCAAACTTTATAAAAATATACATTTATAACTGTGATTAGTTCACTGAGAAGTTTGAACAGATTTATTAGGTCGAAAGTATTTGAAGCTTAGTGTTTTTTTGTTGTTGTTTTTTTTACAAATACGTGATGTTCTATATGAGTGCATCCCATTGTAAACACATTGTAAAATGTATCTATTTGATTGTTACTTGTTCCTATACATTCACTCCATGCTGTCTTTTTGTGAATTTCCCATCGAAATAGCCCAAAATTTACTAGCTGGATTCTTGTCCTTATGACTTGAGATCATTTGTCCGGGGATATTTTGTCCTGAGATTATTTGTCCTTGATATATTTTGTCTGGGATATTTTATTTGAGATCGTTTGTCCTAAGATCATTTGCATATATATATATATATATATATATATATATATATATATATATATATATATATATATATATATATATATATATATATATATATATATATATATGTAACGAGACTATTTGCCTGTAGTGCCAAATGTTAACGAGTTCTGCTCGACAACGCCAAATGTTACCGAGTCTAACCACTCATTCTTCACAACATCGACCACAGTATAGATACTCGAAGATGCAGGTTCGCTATTGATCCTTTTATTACATGAATCAAAGAAAGGTTTCACAATAATATAATGAATCAAAAGGAATGCTTCACAATAATAGTCTGAATCAACTGACCCCCAACAGTCCTCACTAGTCTTCACATAACTGAATGCACATGTCTATCGTCCTTCTTAACACAATACGGCTAACCCGTTCAATAACCAACTTGATACTGCCACTCTCCTACTGACTGACTGAACTGATCTCGACTCATCTCATCTCCGTTCTGTCTCTCTCTGATCTCAGCCGTCGCCTTCCTATATCCCTTCGTATTCGTAATCGGATTCGTAATCGTAATCGTAATCGTAATCGATTCTAATCGTTGCATCAGAATGTTAATTACGCCGCTTCTGTCATACAGTCCGATTAATAAGCCATCTGCATCCTGTCACATCAAAGTTGACAGACCGTATTGCGTTCTTCTCGTATCGCTTCCCAAGATACTACGCCTTGGCTTTCTGATCGTTATCAGCCAACACCTGCGTTATTACATCAGTCGTGTCAAAGTTGACAGCGCTGTACTGCGTTCTTCCGTCTCTGGTAACTTCCCCTAGTTACATCCACCCCTGCCTTTTTTTGTGTGTTATCAACCACAAACAACGCTTGGCAGGTGCAGTCCTTCAAAGTCAATCGCACCACCGTAAAAAAATTTATTGTTCCACTCACTGTCAATGTCGTCACATTCGTATAAGATTGACAGTTATCCCTATTTCACATATCAAATGTGTCTACATCATCTTCCTCAGACACAAAACAGTTCTAGAATTCACATCCACCTTTTTTTTGTTTGGTGCCTTCACCAGTTCACTTGTATGACTTTTTGAACAGTCTGTTCTCATACCAGCGCGACCATGAAAGAATTGATGGTTGCTGACAAAAAATTTCGTATTCTTTCTGTTTCTCAAACTTCTCCGCGGACCACTTATCTGATGGTCTACTGTCTCTCTGCTTCTGGGAGGAACGGGATCCTCTTCGTTGCCGTTACCCTCCACTTGTGTATCGCTGTTGTTCTGTTGATGGTGACATGGTTCCGGGATGGGTATGTGAATTTCCGTTATAGTTTCCGGTTCCCTAATTGTCTTGGGTTTCCTTGTGTGTAACTGCTCTTCTTGACTATGACAATATTTCTTTAATTGAGCAATATTCGCCCACCGATCCGGTTTGGTGTGATCGATGGGTCTTATCTTAAAGGGGCCACCTGCTACTTTAGGCATCTCCACGACTTGCCATATCTCCTGTCCCCAGAGGTCGTGGATTTTGTTTCTGCCTAACGGGTGGCTACGCAGTAATACCCTGTCGTTCAGTTTGAGTGGCGGGTCCTTTGTCTGTACCGGCGGTTCCCTTCGCCGTGCTTCATGTTCTAGTCTTTCCTGTACTACCCTGTACATTTCTCTAATTCGTCTCATATGTTCATTCACATATTCCAGTGCAGTGTATGAGCCAGTCATACTCTCCTTTTTTCCTAGGAACAAGTCAAGAGGGAGTCGAGCCTCCCGTCCGAACAGCAACATGTGTGGCGAAAAGCCGGTTGTGGCATGGGGGGTGCAGTTGTATAGATATACCAACTCTGGGAGAAAATCAGGCCAACGTTTTTTCTGTTCAGGTTCTAGGGTACGCA